GCTTTCCTCATGCTATTCTTCTTCAAAGTCGCAGAGAACCTAACGGGTAACCGGGGCTCCGGCTCGACGTGCAGGAGAAGGAACGGGGTGGTTTTTAGTCAGTAAGAGTCTGACACTCCCTCCCGCCTCACCCAGGCGGGAGCTGTCATTCGATGAATTTCCACCCTTAAAAAAAACCTTCTTCAAAATTTTTCGTTGGTGTCTAAATAATCTTAAAGCTGTAGTATTTGTTAATTAGAACGACCACTACATTTTTAATTGCATTGATTCAGTACACATTATTTATTATCTTTAAAAATTGGATTTTCAAGAAGACTCAAGATTATAAATGTATCTAATTAGTCAGGTACCGAGCACAATATCTGACACCTTAATCATGTGCTTTATTTTTTCTTTTATACCTTTATTTTGTCATGTGATTTGTAGCTACATACGATGTTTGTTTTGATATCTGTATATGTTAATGTAACTGGTGTAAACCGTATTAACATAAAATAAAATAAATAAATAAATAAATGAAATACACAATACAATAATAACAAAAAAAAACAACCAACAAAAAAAATCTATCGATAACTCCTTAAACGCCCGCATCCCTAATCGCAAAAGGGCCGGCGTCATCTGCCAGCGGCATATTGTCACCACCCTTCTCGCCAAGTGAGGGGGATCGGTCACCGGATTACTCCAGATCTTTCGCCTCGCCTCACGGACCAATGACTTTTGGAGCCCCAAGATTTTGAAGGATTTCGAATTCATATTTGTTGATTTTGGATTTTGGTTTATGGTTGAAAGTTATTTAGTTTAAACTAGTATTATAATAGAGAAAGATTTGTTTATTTATGAGTATCTTTCACTATTGGAAAACTTACCTTTTGGGGAGTAGTGTTCGTAAACGGGCGCCGTCAACTGGGACTGGTCAGCTCCAGACTGTATTATTGTCCTTAAGGTTATTTATCCTTAATTAAGGTCCTTCTTTTTTGATCACTTTGACTGGATTTAGTGTTACATTTTTCTCGCACAATCCAAACAGCAAAACCATGTAACTAGTAAATTGTATTGTGAACCTGATTGAAAAAGAGTAACCTATGGAGTTTCTTGCTCGTTCTTCTCCATAGGAATCTACACCTTGGAATGAGCAAATAGATTCACTTTTAATTTTTTTTGTTGACATTCAAAAGTGCCATTCTGGCTTAATTGAAATATACGATTTTGACTTTGACTTTGAGTAGCAGAAACTACTTTTTATTATATATTTTTACAAGATCAAGACCTACTCAACAGAAATATTTTAAATACCGTTGTAGGCAGGCGATGTTGCTGATGAACTAAACGGTTGCACAATTGGGTACTTGCCAACTAGTCAATTTCAATACTTTTTTCGAACTGTCAAAAACGACAGTTTTCTATGAATTTTGTACGAGATTGTGTATTGTGACGTCACGTTTTTTAGCATCAAATAGCGTACTTATTGTCTAAAAAGTTGTTAGAAAAATAATAAAATTAAGTTAGTTGGTCAAAAATTCTATTAAAGAAAGTGTGATTATTTTTTAATCTTTTAATTGTATTGAACAGTCATAAAGAATTATTTATTTTTGATTAAGGCAAGTACCCAATTATGTAGTTGGCAAATAGCAACACACTTGTGATACCTACAGATCTAGCGTAACAGCAGCTGTAGCCGAATGCCATTTAGCGCTTGTCTACATGTAGAATAGAAAACCAAATTATATGGAATTGACATAAATTTTGACACTTGTCAGTGTCATCCTCATACATTTAGTTTTCTACTCTCTCTGTAGACAAGCGTTAAAGTGGCGTTTGGCTAAAGGCATAGGTGTAATTAGGTTATGGTATCCGCTTACCATCAAACCGTAAGATTTGTGGCTACAATTTGTAATACTGACACCCAAATACTGAGAAGTTCCCCAATTTTAAGTTGCACTTAACTTACAAAGAATTCGTAGTGACAGAACTATATTTGAGCACGACTTAAAGTTGAGTGGTGTTTGTATAACGTTAGTACATAAAATAAAAACATACATAACATCCTTTGTATCCCCGAATGGCTAGGCAGAGGTGCACATTACGGCACTTAATGCCACTGTACAATGTAACACGCACTTTTCACTATTTATGTCATGAGTCCCATGTAATAGGGGGTGATCCTATTGCCATATACCGGGCACAATTCCAGACTCCGTGCTACTACTGAGTATTTTAAAAACCCAGTAATACTTTGCCCATCCCGGGAATCGAACCCGTGACCCCTTGCCCGGCAGTCGCATTTGCGACCACTCGGCCAATGAGGCAGTGGCAACGTTAGTATATTTTAATAATAATAAACAATGAACTAATTGCTCGCAATGATACCATTAAAACCATAGGCTACATAGCAACTGTGTAACAGGGGAATAAAAAAGTTAAGACGCGCTACTAACCCCAACTAAACTATCAAAGAAAGAAATACACACATTACAACGCATAGTTCATTTCAATCACACTATATTAAAACCATGAAATCAAAAATCATTACGAACACCATCTGTTATATTATTTCAATTTCTCAATAAAAGATTGACATGATTTTTAACGATTCAATTTGACACAATGAAAATTTCGGCGCGTAAAAAACGTGGCCATATTTAAAAAGTTTGACAAATGATTCGATATTTGAATCGGGCGCGAACATCGATCAGTTTGATTGGTCACGGGCTATTGGCGGGCCCAATTTGTCATTTACGTTAAAAATATTTGTTTTTTTTTAAAAAAAAAACGATTCTTTTTTTATTCGCTGTTTTTTTGAGAATTGGCAGTCGTTTGTCAAATTGCTAATCATGGCTGAAGAAAGTCGATTAGTTAAGCAGTTTTTCTTGTGTTATTTGAAATCTTTATACAAAGTCGTCTCGCGTAAAATTTAACACTAAGAGCGCTGCTGTTTTCCCAATTGTGTCCCCTCTGGAAGTTTGATCATGTAATAGGGTAGACGACTAATTTTTATTTTAATGTCCGTCTGATAGATTATTTAAAAACATTAGACACGTATTTTTTATTTTCTCACAGAAACGAATAGTTTCGAAGATATATTGATTTGAAATGTCGCGTGACGTCACTTCTCAGTACATTTTATACTAAGAAATGACGTTTTAGCCCCCACTCCTGAACTTTGATTCGTTTTATCTAAGTATTGTTTTATTATACGACAAAATAAAAAAATACGTGTCTAATATTTTTTCATTACCTAACTTACGGACTAATTATATTTTTAATTTTCATACCCTGTCATCATCCCCATTATTTACCCCATTAGCCATTTATCATGTAGTTGCTAGTGTGACTGTGTGACTATCGGGTCAGGTAGAGTTATAGAGGTTTTTTTGGTATTTTGAAGATTTCTCAACTCATGGAATCTGAATTTGTTTAACTCGTCGAGTACCGGTTTTATAGACACAATTAAAGAACAATAGGTCGCGGTCACCGGTGACCGCTTGGTGTTTGACAGTTTACATAAAACCAAAAATAACCGCATATGTAGGTACTTAACTTTAAATCTAATTATACTAATATTATAAAGCTAAAGAGTTAGTTTTTTTGTTTGTTTGTTTGAACGCGCTAATCTCCGAGACTACTGGTCCTATTTGAAAAATTCTTTCTGTGTAGGATAACTCATTTATCGAGGAAGGCTATAGACTATAAAATATCACGCTACGATTAATAGGCGCCAAGCAGACCGAGTGAAACGGCGCGGAAGTAGCAAGTAACAAATAATTTAAATAAAAAATAATGGTTACCAGACATAAAAACAGAGATTTATATTAATCTGGTAACACACAATACTAGAATGACATTTCAATATTGACATTACAATAGCTTTGTCCTACACACCGTGGCTCACGCCTACACGTCACCGGACCGATCAATCGGATGATGAATAGGAGTTTTTATTCTTGCCAAAATAACGTTATTATTTTATTTAGTGATTTGTATCATTTGTTGTTTCAGTGGCGATATTTTTATGAAGTAGTAAAGTTCTATAAACTGGGCACTATTTCATATGAAAGAATACTTTTCGCAACCTAGTTATAGAAAAACTTCTTGCTGGTTAACCTTTTGGCTAACGAAGAAAATACCGATTTATCTATTGAAATGGATAAATAGTTAACATTTTGTATAAGATCCCTCTTATTTCAAACCTATGAAAGAATGTAACTACAATTGTATAAAATTAAAATTGCAAAACTAAAGGCTTAAAAACACTGCATGACGTGCACAAAATGAAAAAAAAATAAAATCACAACAAAAACCGCGCGCGCGGTCAAACGTCAACGCTTTTTTTTTCTAAACACAACGAACGCAGGCAAAGGAACATTGCCGTACAGCCCCGCCTCCGACCATCAATAACATGCGACGTCAAACACAATACGCCGTTACTCGCTATTTATTCCGTAAAACTGTTAGAATTTCTGCGGGAGAGAAAAAAATATAAAAACGATTTTTACGATACAAATGAGAATTCGATTCGTGAAAAAAGTATTTATTAAGTAAAAAAACGTTACGAGCGTAGTTTCGCGCCCTTTTTGCTGTCATTAATGTCATTTGTCAATAATTTTGACGATTATGACTTTTTTTCGGTAATGGAGTTAATCCAATAATGTTGTTATAATACTTTTTTATTGTAAAGAAAATGAATGATTGCTTTTATTATTGCTATAAATATTTATGATTAGGATTACGGTTTTTGGTAATATAATAGCATCAGCTGGCAGAAAAATTAGTGTTTTTTTTGTACGGATGCGTCTGCCGAGAAAATGGTCACAGGTTCGGACTACGGCCTATTAGAAAAAAAAAAATCGGTTACGAGGAAAGTGTTCATAAGCACATGACCCATTGGCACTTACCCAGTTTTAAACCATTTTCATACTTGAGAACCACGTACCTTAATCCTCCGAGCCACCACGACTCTCTATTTCCACCAATACTAACAAAAACTTCTCTATTCACAGGTAAAAATATGGTTCCAAAACCGACGCATGAAATGGCGCAACTCAAAAGAGCGGGAACTTCTCGCATCAGGTGGGTCACGAGAACAAACCTTGCCAAACAAGAATAATCCACACCCAGACCTATCAGATGCTGAAGCTGACAAACCCAAGATGTCTCCGTTATCGCCTTCGACTGAGGAACAGGCTGAGGATATGAAGAAAGTGTATGCGACCACATCAAATGATTTTCGAGGTTATGACGACAAGATGGCGGGCGGTCAAATGTTTTCCCGCGAAATTTCGTATCAAAATATGGAGGAAGATGAATTTGAAAGCGATGCTAGTGCCAGCGATGAAGAAATTAATGTAACATGACCTGTTTTTGTATGTTAGACGAGAATTTGTATTATAATTGTGTAGTGTTGTGTATATTTTCGTTTGGTTTTAAGTATAGATAATGTACTTACTATAATACGTTTACGGATGGTTTAAATGCTTTTACTGATGTGGTTCCGAGTCTCAAATTGCTTGATAGATAACGATTACTTGCGGCTGCAATAAATATAATATATAGCCGATTTTAATATAAAAACTTGAGGGCTTTGCTCTGAGTCTCTCTGAAGAATATAGGATCCGTTACGAGGTGATCTGACAGAGAACTAAAGTTACCGATGAAGTGGACCTTTTTTTAAAGGGGGGAAAATCATCGAATGGGAAATAAATCTTTGAAATGAGGTGGAGTTTTGACATTATTTGTTAGAAGTTGCTGTTTAAAACCTAAGATTGGACCAAAGATTTTGGATTAATAATGGCTACTTACATTGACCGCATAAGTTGATTACAGACTCTAAAAATTAGAAAACGTAGTCTTCAATAAATTACATACTTCAAGTATATACTCTAGAAAAAAAATATTTTTTCTTAATTCTTTTTACTTCTTAAAACATCTTCAAAAAGTAATGTCTTAATCTATACATACAGATAAATAAAATCGGAGTGTCTGTTTGTAATATTAAAATAACGGCTTTTTACTACATGCATATGAATATACATACGATACATATACCATAATAACGTTTTTTTACAAGTTTAGTCTGTCTGTTTGTACTGGCCAATCTCTGGAATAGCTGGACTGATTTTGCAAGACTTTTATTGGCAGGTAGCTGATGTAGTGATGTACTAAGGAGTCACATAGGCTACTTTTATTTCATTGAAGACAAGTCTTGAGCAATTGTGGAACAATGTCAGTATAAGAATTTACCTACTAACTAACTACCTAAATAAAATAAAATAGGAGTGGAAATCAGTATGCAATATTATCAAAAATTCTAAAAAATAAGTCGTGAAAAGAAATATTTGCGATTATATCACCTATCTGCCCAGATCTTTAAAATTAAATTAGAATAAAACAACTAAATAAAAACGTATGTTTAAAAATGATAGTGAGGTTATATTTAGGTGAAACACAGTTATGGAATTATAATATCGAAATAACAATTTTTGGAATGATTTTCTACAAAAAATGTTAACTAAAAATGCTTAGATACGTATTAGAAACAGTTTTTAACGTGAAATTACGCCGTTTTTTACCTCTACTTGGACAGTATCGATTTTTTGACATTAACTAAAATCGCTGGTTACTCACGTGAATCAAAGTCAAAGTCAAAGCATTTATTTCAATTGAACCATAATTTGGTACTTTTGAAACGTCAACAAAGTCTGTCAGTCAGTCCGTCAGTGAAGCTAGGTGAAGCTAGGTTTTCATTCCAAAATGTAGATTCGAATGGAGAAGAACGAGCAAGAAACTCCATTCGTTACTCTTCTTAAAATAGTATGTTCTCTTTTTAAAAAGTAGAGCTTTTCTCAGTATATTCACGCGAGTAACCCGCGATTTTTAGTTAATTTAGTATGTCTCACGATAGTTATTATAAAAGTATTTTAGACATTTCCAAAAAATAATCTTTCAGTAATAACACATTGTATGAAGATTGAGTTAAACTTTTATAAGGGTGTGTTGTGGCTTTCCAATTATTTATAAACGACTTACTTACTTGAATGCCAACAGGTGAGACAAGAAAAAATACGTGTTAATATTTTAAATTAATGTACCAGACGGACATTGAAATAAAATTTAGGAAACTGCCCTAGTAGTTACTATTTCAATATTACATTCAATAATACGTATCTAAGGCATTTTTAGCTAGCAATGCACGCAACAATTATTTTTACAGGGATTTTATCGTACAATAGAAATACGATTGAAAATTTTGTTTCCTTAAAATCAAAATATAAATAACATAATTTATTAAAATCGTGTAATTATTATTAACAGAATGTAAGAGGTACGTAATTTTTATTATCTAAGTACAAGATTAACTAAAATCGCGGGATAATTACGTGAATATACTGAGAAAAGCTCTACTAGTTTCGAACCACAGAGGGGTTCTTCCTCGCGGCGACGTCGCGCAGCTCACTGAAACTAGTAGAGCTTTTCTCAGTATATTCACGTGAGTAACCCGCGATTTTAGTTAATTCAGTATGTCTTACGATAGTTATTATAAAAACAAAGTACAAGATCTTCAAGGCCCGAGTGAATAGGTTGCTTATGGGACGACGTGCTCCATCGTAGACAGCATCATCGCTTACCACCAGGCGAGATAGTGGTCAAATATTGAAAAAAAAAACATTTATATTTGAAATGCACAAATTATTGATTGATAAAAAATTCTGTTTTAATAATCGCCAAAACCTACCAACGGCAAGTACCAATGTGACTTTTTCCCAGTTATATGTACTTTCTAGTATTATTCAGACACCACTGACAAACGGTGAAGGAAAACATCGTGAGGAAACCTGGGCTTATAATTTCTAATTATAAATTTGTAATCGCCAACCCGCATTGAGCAAGCGTGGTGTAATGGTCAAACCTTATCCGTGTGAGAAGAGGCTTTGCTCAGCAGTGGGCATTTATAGGCTGTTGATGAAAGCTTGACAATCGGGTGGAGAACACAGTTTAAAAGGTTCAGCTGACCGGTTTGTCTACCAGTCTTACCTCTTGTATTCTGTTAAAAATAAAATAATATAACATAATAAATAAGTCTGTAAATACATAGAAATCTAGATAATACGTATGTAATTGTAAATATTCCCTCTGTAGATTGTTTGGTGCAAAAATTATAATTTATAACCTATATACTTTTAAAATCCGTCCTACATTTTAATTGTCCGTATAAAAATATAAAAATAATACTTGTGTAAACTGACAGACATCACTATTTTCGAACACAGTGCCACCTACAGTAAACAAATTAATCATATAGATAAGTATACAATATGGTATACAAATCCTTTGAGATTTCGAAACAGAAAATCTTAGGTTTGAAGTCGGTTAAAATACACAAGGCACTATGTATGCAAATACGTGTGTATTTCTGTCAGTTATTCTGCCAAATTAGATGTCATCGAATCTAATATTAGCCCAAACTTAAAATTAGCCCAAATATACGTCACAATTGGGTACTTGATTTAATCAAAAATTAATTATTTCGACTGTTCAATACAATAAAATAATAATAAATAATCACACTTCCATTAATTGATTTAAGACCAACTGAATTTTAGTACTTTTCCAGCAAATTTTTAAGAAATAACTATGCTGTTTGACGTTAAAAAAAATGTGTCGTCACAATACACAATCTCGTACAAAATTCAAAGAAAACTGTCGTTTTTGACAGTTCGAAAAAAGTATTGAATTTGACTACCTAGTTGGCAAGTACCCAATGAACCAATACGTTTACATTTAAACCAACTTAATGTTTATTTCATTTCAAATGAAGATTACATTTGCACCAAAAATGTTGTAAATAAACTTAAATATTATATTGTATTATTAATTAATTTAGTTTCTAAGTGATCTCAGCTTATTATTAAGATCAAGACTTTATGTATAATTAAATGTAACAAATGAAATCAATGTGCAAATATAAACGAATGTAAAATTATTTTTTGATTTTCATTTATTTTTGTTTTTTATGGAATAAGCCGGGAAACGAGTATACGGATCACCTGATGGTAAGCAATCGGCGTCGCCCATGGACACACGCAACACCAGTGGCGTTACAACTGCGTTACCGGCCTTTAATATAATATATAATAATAATAAATAATAATAAATTCTTTATTTCGGAATTGTACATTCCATATCTTATACTACTAGGAACAAAAAAAACCAGCACATACTTATATTATCTAGAAAAAATAAGAAAGAGACAAACAAAAAAAAAAGAAACCAATTTATCATAAACTAAAACACAATAACAACATTAATAACATGAACAGCATTACGCTGCAATTTGCATCCATTTTTTTATATACAGACGTGGCATGCAATCGGTTGTGTAACTCCTTGATGATACTGTTTGTGCAAGTGCCAACTCTAGACAAGAATCCAGCGATTCGCTTTCTCTGTATAGCATTAAACGTGTCCAGCCTCGCTTCTGTGAACATACCCGACGCACTGCAGTGCGGGGCAAGACCCATTAGCTGTCTGAAGATGTTATTGTACTGGACACGAATACCATCCAGAGACCTCCTCGTGTAACGTGTCCAAAGTTGACACGTGTACAAACTTTGACAGTATGTTCTAAATAGGTGAACTTTCGTCTGGGCATTGGCTTTAAAGAATCTCCTAGCTATCATATTGCCAACGACTGACAATGCTCTGCGTTGTCTGTCTATGTCAGCATCGTCCTTCATATCTGACGTCAGCATGTGACCAAGGTACCTGAAACTTTCTACTATTCTAACAATCTGACCTCCTAGCCAAACTGGTGGGACATTAAGTGGACCTCTTCCTGATCTGAATATAAGCATTTCAGTTTTCTTCGCGTTATATACTAAATTGTGTTCTCGCGCATATTTCTCACAAATCGCCAATAGTCTTCTTATACCTTTGATTGAGGGGCTGAGCAGAACCATATCATCAGCGTAACTCAAGTTGTTGATATACCTATCACCAAGCCTAAGCCCAACTGCCGTCCCACTCAGCTCCTCAATCAAGTCATTCATGTAAACATTAAATAGATCAGGAGAGGTTAACCCACCTTGTCTAACGCCACAAGACAGCCTAAAGCTCTCCGACATCGCGGTCTCCCACCTGACATTGTTAGACTGATTAGAGTACCAGTATCTAATCAATCCAACAACCCCAGCTTCCACTTTAAACCTATCTAGTTTCCTCCATAGCAGGTCGTGATTTATTGTGTCAAATGCGCGACTCAGATCAAGGAAACAAGCATAAACGCTTGTATCCTGTTCCACATACTGCGATACAACCTGTTTCAGAGAGAAAATAGCCATGTCAGTTGATACCTCAG